GTACATAAGGTAGACTAGAAGTCAAGGGGAAAGAAAAAAAAAAAAAAAAAGAAAACCAAAAGGAGAAGAAAAAAGAAAAAAAGGAATACGGACAGATGAATGTAGCTACACGTGATCTGCGCAGTTATCACTTAGCACGACTGCTGCATCTAGTCCCGCAGCTGCATCGTGTCTATGCTGAGAACTGTTTTTTAGTCCCACTCTTCTTTTCAAGTGTGAGTCCAAAAGCGAAGGCGCACGCCAAACTTATACTGCTATGTTTACACCGCCGACTTGGCCCCACATGTACACCAGATGTGTATGAACACATACTTTCCTTCTTGTCATTTCCCGAACTTGTTGAGTCACCAGAAACTCTATTGGGTTCTCCGTCACTATTACATTCAGACCCTGCTGAGCAATTACCACCTACGTGTGTTAAAAAGAGAATGCGAGAGGAGATGGAAACAGGGGTATCACCAGTTTCTTTACAATCATCCGTTCCAGGTGTGATGGAAACAAATGAAGGAGTAGAAAACACAGAGAAACAAAGTAAGGAACAATTAGAATCACCTGAACATCATAGTGTACAAGAGGTATTAACAAATATTACAGATGGTGAGAAGAGGGCGGGAACTAGATCAACAACAACAGAAACACCTACAACTACAATGACAGATCCAATATTTCTTGTTCGTCCTCCAGGGACACTTAATTCTGAAAAGACCATGACACATCTTTTTGTTCGTATGGTATCTGAACATCAACATAATGAAGAAACTATGAACACTTTTTTTGGTCGTTATGGTCAAGTTTCATGTAAGTTACAACAAAGGCGATCAGTTCAAGATACCAGTCGTCCAGGTGTTGTAATTCATGTTCAGGATTTTATTGTGACTGTTGATTCTACGCATAATGCTTTTCAGGCTGTCCGTCATGCATATTATCCTGAGTTAGCCTTTATCGCACTTCATGATCCTTTATACAATACCTATACACTTACCGATGTAGATCGTGTCTTGCATGATGTGCCTGTAGAGATAATTGAAGAGCCATGTATTCGTGATGTTGCCCTTGAGGGGGATGAGACATTACCCCCATCCCATTCATTTATACCGGATGTGGTTGTCGATGGATTGCCGTACTGGCTCACCGTAGATCAACTGCGGGCATCCTTCTCACAGTATGGACGTGTAGAGGATGTGCGCATTGCGGTGGATGATCGCAGTGGTGCCTTTACGGGTGCCGCGCTGCTTCGCATGTCTTCAGTGGAGGAGGCGGTGGCGGCATCTGAAGGTCTTAACGGTGAAATGTTGAAGGGCCACACACTCGTGAGTGGTGTGCTGAACAGCAATCTTGACATTGTTTCCCTGAGGCACGGGTCGATGATTCAGCGGGCGGATGAAGTTCTACCAGCGGACTACGATATCACCGTGAATGGGAGACGATGGGTTTAGAAGACGGCTGCAGAGAGATGAGCATTATCCGTGGGAATACTACAGAGAGAGAGGAAAGAGATGAATATTCCATGTGGTTCTTTTTTTTTTTTTTATTGTGTGTTGTGTTTGTGTGTGTGTGTGTGTGGCTGCAGTGCCGGAGGACGATAGATGACTGCCTGAATGATTACGTCCAATACTTTTGTTTCTTTTTTTTTTTTTTTTGCAAAACAAAACATGAGGAGGTAAATGTGAGCCTAGACGTGATCTAACAATAATATACGATGGATAAAATTGGATTTGATAAGTTCTTTTTTTTCCCACCCTCATTTCTTATCTGTTTTTGGGGATGGTTATTATTATTATTATTTTTGCCAAGTGAACATTCAGGAAGGCATCATTAGCCTTTGATTATTATTACTATTATTGTTATTTTTTTCTTTTTTTTTTTCTTGTGCCACTCTGCAGTTTTTTATTTTATTTTCTTTTTAATAAATGTTAAAAACAACAACGACAACAACAGCAGCAAAAACAGTAGTTATATAGTTTTTTTTTATTTTAAAAATCATGTCTTGTTTATGTAATTGCCAGGAAGCGGAATCCGTTGTCAGTCCAAGACGAGGAGGGGGTAATTCCATGCGGCCTGTATCCGCAGATGGATCTAGTAATAAAGCCCACGCCCCGCCGGTGTCTGCGCGTCAGTGGGTGGAAGTGACGATGATGTGTTTGCAAAACAAGACGGTCCCACTCCGTCGCCTGTTAACGATGCTGGAGGACACTGCACAGGCTTTACTAGACGAGGATGCCTCTAAGAGAGAAAAGGCGGAAAGCCGAGCAGCAGCAGCGATGTCTGTTCCCGGTGTTTCTGTTCTCCCTGGAGATGATGGTGTGAGTCTGGAGTTCAGCACACCCGAGACGACTTCTCTCGGACAGCCAGCAGCCGTGGATGTCACTCCACGACGTTGGTTGGCCACACGGTTTTTACTCTTGGGTTCCCAACTTGGACTCAACCGTGGATCCCCCTCATCACTACGGAATGCTGTACGTTTAGCGGAGTTAGCAGTCGATACACATTACTGTGCTACTACGACCACACATCTTGCGTGGGCTTGTTACTGTCTTGGACGGCATATGCAAGATAGCGGTAAAAACAGTAGACTTGAAAAAATGTCGCGGGATTTAACATTAGAAACTTCTGAAGTGATTTTAAAACGTTCCATGTCTCTTCCTACAGATGTGGTATTATTAACGAAACTTGTTTGGCTTATGGCTCTTCTTGGTGAAACACAACAGGCTTTTTCAGTAGTACCACGTCTTATTGATGAAAACCGAGCAGAAGTAAAGGCATTGATATTACTTTCACTTTTATATTCAAGTACAGGTGAATATCACAAAGCTTTGGAGGTGGCATATCATATGGAACAACTTTACCCCCAAAATATTGTTGGTGGTCTTCTTCTTATAATGCTTCGATATGCATCAGGTGAAATTAAATATCAAAAACAAGAAAGTGTAGAAGAACTGTTAACGGTATTAATTGCACGTATACAATCAGTAGCTCAATATACATCTGGTGGAATTAATGTAGATGATTTAATTGCTGTTCCTGATATTGCCACAATGGCTGTTGCGGATGGTGTTTGGAGTACTCGCAGTGAAGGGAGAAGTCAAGTAGCGGGACATTGGGCTTTATTAGCGTATGTGGCATTAGAAACAGGATGTGATACAATTGCACAACTTGCTGTGGAAGCGGGAATGGAATATATAAGTGAAGACAAGGAAGAACACCGTCAATCTTTTGCAGATTTGATCTGTTGTGACTCACGAATAAAGATAAATAAAATTGAGAAACTTGTAGAAATGGTCCATATACGACCAAAAACGGCTAATGATATCGATGGAGGAGGCACAGCAGCCGCGGCGGTGACGGAGTTGCAGGAGATGGAGGATGAGCGTCTCATTCAACAACAACAGGGTCTTTTAGATCAGAGTGAAGTACTCTCACTACGGACAATGCTTGGAAAGGCATTAGAGGTGAGTAGTGCACATGCCGAGGCTCATTTACTACTAGGCCGTCTTTACTTGTTAGAAGCATTAAAGGCAGATCAATCACAACAACTACATGCCACACGATTAGTGGAGGCGGCGCATTACTTTGAGTCTGCCATTCGCTGTTCATCAACACTTACAGAAGCCTATGAGGGTATGGGGCGTGTGCGTGAGTCCCAAGGTGCAATGGAGATGAGTTTGAGTTTTCTTTCTTCTGCCGCAGAACTTGCGTACCGGCAGCCTGTGATTCCATTTGAAAGATTTACGTACCTTTTATAAGAGAGAAGTGTATATATATACGTTTGTTGGAAGAAGAAAAGGATAAATTGACCCAACTGTACAGAAACAAAATAGGAATATATCTACAGGAGGATATTGCTCCTATTCTTACCTACCGTTTTTTTTTTTTTTTTGGTTTTTTTCGTTGTTCTTGTTTTCTCTCTTTTTACACAACATATTTATATAGTTGTTAATTTTACTTCCAATAAAAATGAATATATATATATATATATATATATGTTTTATTTTATTCTATTTCTCTCTCTCTCTCTGTGTGTCTGTGTCTTTTGTATTCTTTTATTTTTTTTTTCTCTGTGATTCTTTTTATTTTTTTATTCATTGAAGATCGATCAGTTTAGGAAAGTAGGACTTGTATTAACAAGACAATAGTAGCAGACAAGGAAGCACTATCTAGGATACCATACGGAGAGATAGGGATTAGAGGTAATCATTTATCATTGAGGAAAACACATAAATAAATATACAAAACAAATAAGTATACATAGGAGACTACCAAGGAGACAATAATACTTTCTGAAATATGCCAGCTCTCAATATTGCGTGTTCTGGAGCTTTTTACAACCACACATGTGTGTTGGATATCATGAAATACCGCTGTATGCAGACACAGCCAGTTAACACACCGCGTGAGCCGAGCAACGATGAACCAGTAGATGAAGGCAATGAGGACAGTGGATCTGAGGCCGAAGAGTAATATTTACGGAATACTATATAGCTAGGAAAATATAAAAACTTTTTCTCCAAATTTTTTTTTCTCCCTTTCTCTCTTTTTCTATGTGAATGGGTGAGAGAGACTCTTTTTTTTTCTTTTCTTCTTGTTGCCGTTGTGTAATATGTGTCGCATCTTTTTCTTTTTCTTTTTTTTTTTCTTTTTACTTTCAAATAAATGAAAACATAGTAAAGGTGCAAGAGCTGTCGTTGTTTTGGTGGTGGTTTATTTATTTAATTAATTTATTTTTTTATTTTTGTTTGAGGGCCACTTTTTCAATAGTGGGAATGAAACGATGTGTATATTTCTTCTGGCGTCGAGAGAAGAGACTACCACGTCGTTTTCGTGATGTTCCCGAAGACTTCACGGAACTGCGCTCCTCTGACTGCCGGCCGTTAGTTTTCACACCGAAGAGACCAGAACCATTGCGGGATGTTTCCCTTTCAGATATCATCATTGATGAGTCGGCCATGCAGACATCTTCTCTGCAGGAACTTTCACAGCAACCAATCGCCATTCTTGATCCCGAGCGGATGGGATTACCACCGCATCTCGTCCAGTACTTATATCAACGTTTTTCCCGCGTGGAAGCCTCCAGTGAGGATGATTCTTCATTTACGGCGAAGACGTCTGGTTTTAAGGGATTGACAATGGTCCAAGCACGTGCTCTTCAACACTTTTACGCCCGACAAGATGTTGCCCTCTGTGCACCCACGGGAACTGGTAAAACCTTTGCCCTTTGTTTAGCGCTTGTGGCCCGATTAATGCGAGAAGGGCCGATGAAACTTTTCTCTACTCTTGTGCTCGCGCAGAATGATCATTTATGCCGGCAGATTGCCCACTGGATGCGGGAGATGTGGTGGTATAAAGATGATGATCGTCTGGTGTTTGCCGCCACAAGTGATCTGCCGGATCATGTGATCTATCGTCGCCTTACTCGGGAGTATTCGGGCCAAACAACAGAAATGGGAAAACCAATAACAATTGATCGACGGCCGTATGTGTGTGTTGCCACTCCGGAAGTATTTTGGAAATTCTTTCAACGCCGTCAAGAGAAGTTACTGCGCCGTTCAAAGCATTCCTTCTCTCTTACTCCCGTACTGCCAAGTTTAGATCTTGTGGTGGTGGATGAAGTGGATGATGTTTTGCCTTCTACACGCCCAGATGCGGCGGGGAATTTACTCATGCGGGAACTCTACCGCTTTGTAAAGTATCAAGCCCCCGTACAATTGGTTTTTACAAGTGCAACTCTTGCCGGTTCAACCGTTAATCATGTGCGTCGCTTTTTAAAAAAGAGTGTGTTGGAAAGTAAAACTTCACGTATCTTTGAGAGTGAAGTGCAGAGTCTCTCACGAAATGTAAAAATGACAGGTAGTCTCTCTAGAGTAAGTGTCCCAAGTGGGATTGAACATCTCTTCTACACAGCAGATACCTTTGAGGAACAGCAGGAGTGCTTAAGGGCGGCAACTCAGGTGAAATCATCATCATCATTATCATCCAGTGATACCACTGAGGCTTCATCAAATATACGTACATTAAGAACTCTAGTGATATTGCCAGACTCTGCAAACACAGGAATTTTTCTTAAACAGATATTAACACCTATTCAAACAGATGATCGCTTTCAAGTTGAAATGGTTGAAGAATCTCGACAAGATCGTAAGCGAAGAGAGGCAGAAAAATACATAAAACAACATTCTTCTACTTCTTCAAAACTTTCACAAACAGATACAGTAAAGATAAAACCCACTCGTCTTTATTTTATTTGTACCGCATCTTCTGTTCGAGGTCTTGATATCAATGACTTAACACATGTAGTGATTTTGGCAACTCCACGATCAGCCACGGAATATGCACATTGGTGTGGACGTGTTGGACGTTTTGGAGGACATGGTGTATCTGTTGTTATCATGAGTCGATCTGCAGTTCGTGGGATTAGTGGTTATTGTGATGCACTGGGAATTCCTTTCAAGATGCAGAGACGATATGATAAAATTGACATTCATGAGGAAAGGCGTACACTTGGATTGTAGGTGTTCTTTTGTCTTTTTTTTTCTTTTTCTTTTTTTCTTGAATTTTTACACATTACCGTTTGCTTGAAAGATTTTTTTTTTTAGGTATTCCCTATGTGTGTGTGTGTTGGTAAGTTGTACAGTGGAGTAAAAGAAAAAAAAATATATTCTTTTTCGTATTTTTTTCATTTTTTTTTTTTTTTTTTGCTGGTGTTATGTGTCTGAGAGAGGGAGGTATGTATGCAAGAGTGTATGGATTGGGTTTCTTTTTTTTTTCTCCTTTTTTTATTTTTTTCTTTTTCTCTATATATGATGATAGTATTTTAACTCTTCTTAAGAGGCGTACTATATCTGCAGTACAGTGTTCTGCGGTAGAAAGGACGAAAACAACCCGTAAAGGTGCCCCCTGACGACTATTTAAATAATCTAAACAAGTCGCCCAAGACCGCTACGAGGATGTTGGCGATTATGAGAAACACCTTCCATGTGTTTTCCTGGATTCGATCGATGTGCTCCATCCAACTCTTTTTCCTTGCCCTACTGACACTGCAGAACTCCACGGCGGTGATGTTAATGAGTTACACCCAACAGCGGCAGGTGACGGACGCGTCGACGCGATTTCAAGTCTCGCACGTTGTGATGATGCAGGAGGTGACGAAAGTGATCGCCTCGCTCTTGTGGTGTGCGGTGGATGTTTACTTGGCGGTCCGACTGCACGGCCGCCGGCTGGTGGAGAAGGCCGCGGAGGAAATGACGGCGGTGGTGGTGCCTGTTCACATTAACGAGGCGAGCAGTACGAAGCCGATAGTATATGTGGAGGAGATGCGGAGTAAAAGCGGAGAAACAGCAACAGCAACACCAAGAGGAGGAGGATTAGATGTATCATCTATACATGGGTCATTTCCACAACCCAGTTCTGCAGAATTGTGGTTGGAATTCAAACGACAGTTTTTAGGGGAATTATTTAACCCAGGCGCACTGTGGATGATGGGACCAGCCGTCATTTATGCAATTCAAAACTATACACTTTTTGTTGCGTTGGGAAATATGGAACCCACATTATTTCAGGTAACGTATCAGAGTAAGATTCTTGTGATGGCTGTATTTATGTGGATCTTTCTTAACCGCAGTTTCTCACGACGACAGTGGATGGCACTCACTCTTCTTGTGATGGGTGTGGCAACGACGCAGATTGGAAGTCAACGTGAATCTTCATCTAAGAAGGAAAAACCCGTTATTCAGGGAAGTTATCTTGTGGGAATCGCTGCCACAACAACGGCTGTATTTCTCTCTAGTACGGCGTCTGTACTCATGGAGGCCATCTTTAAGGGGAAAACAAGCGCTATAGATTCATTCACTTCTACAAAAAATGTGCACCTTTCATTTTATTCCGTTATTTGTTTTCTCGTGGTGCAACTAATAAATGGAAATAGCAATAATAGTAATAATAACACTAACAACGCCATCGCAAATGCTGATGATGATCAACCGATTGGTGCACTCACGCTATTCTTGAATGATTATTTTCACGGTTTTGATTGGTTGGTGTGGCTGTTGGTTCTTGTGCAGGCTCTGGGTGGTCTGCTAGTGGCAGTTGTGATTAAATATTCTGATAATATTATGAAAGCCTTCGCTACAGGATGTGCTATTGTACTGAGTGGATTTTGTTCAGCCTATATATATTCATTTATGCCAAGTCAACTCTTTATACTTGGCAATATTCTTTGCCTCACATCCATTGTAATGTACAGTCGATAATTAAATGAATTACGGAACTGTACTTTCTCAGTTTGTTTTCTTTTTTTTTTTTTTATTTGGTGTGATAGATGAATATAAATAAGTGAGTATTGTTGGTGTAGTGGGTTATCGCATGAGAAGATTTTCTCGCAGAATCACTTCTTCCTTTTTTTTTCTTCTTCCCATGGTGCGTATTTGGACTGCTACATTTTATAATAAAAATTTTTTTTTTTTCTTTTCTGCGGTATACTTTACTGTATGTATGTTTTCTTGTCTTTGGGCTTATCAGTACTCTTTTTCTCTTTATTTCACGATGGCACCACTGAGAAAGAGAAAGAGAGAGAGAAATGAAAAAAAAAACGAATCGGGAGAGTCAAACTTCAAGGCATCAAAACGCCATATCAATTAGAGGCAGTGATTGAGTCATATTTTCTCTTCTTCTTTTTCTTTTAAAGGAAGAAGAAGAAGAAGCAGAAGAAAAGACTGCATTTCATACGCAATCAGTAACAGATGTGTTTATATTTGAGGAGAGGTTTTATTCTCTCACAATACATCTTGTTACTCTTTTTTTGGTATCATTGCATCACTACTGTATATCTGATATTGTCATTATTATTAGTATAAATATTAATGTTAATGTGATCTTTTCTATATATTACGATTATTATTATTATTATTATTATTATTATTATT